AGGGACATCATGCTTGGGAGGGTTGAGGGACAACGCAGGAGGGGAAGACCCTCTATGAGATGGATTGATCGGTGACTGGGGTAATAGGGATGAGTGTGTCAGAGGCGGTGGTGTTGGCGCAGGACAGAGCAGGGTTTAGGGCTGTTGTGCATAGGGTCGCTATGAGTCACAAACGACTGGACGGCACATAACAACAACAACAACAACATGTAATATTCACATAAACCAGTCACTGCAAAGGGAAATAAAATTGTCATAATCAACCTGGACATATTTATATTTGCTCTGAGTTAGGGTTAGATACTGTTTCCCCCCTGAAGGATAAATTTCTCATGACAATGGCTCTATCAGCGGGCAGCCATTCAACCAGTCTCTTCTTTCTAAGAAGCTTTAGGCTTTCTCCAAATAACCAATGGTTGTTCTGCAGTTCCTTGAACTCACTCTTGAGTGTTAAATGTGTAGTTCTTGAGTCTTGTGGATTTTTGTTTTCTTTTCCTCCTTTTTGAAAACTTTACTCAGCTCTTCTCTCCATGTGCTGAATTAAGGCAGAACGAATAACTTCTACTGCAAAATCGACTTCTGGTTTTGTGATGCACATTGAGGGCGCAATGCGGAATGTCTGAGGAGACAAGGGAAAATCATCACAGAGTCAGCTGCAACAGAAAAGGTGCACCCAGCCCGCTTTTTAAAAGGGCATTTGATGACTTTACTATTTGTTGGTACCAAAGGCACATCACATGAATCCACCCATTGCTCTGCAGGAGAAAGATGGGTAAGCTCCTCCCATGCAACTTACTGCCTCTGAAAAGCCACTGGAGAGCCAGCTATGAGTTGGTTCTGACTTGATAATAATACACCACCACCACCACCACCACCACCATTTGTTGAGTTGGTCTTCTCTTTCTCTAGTGCTGGGTTCAGACCATCCATTCTCTAGTCTCCTTGTCCCTCTGCTCTGCTTCTCTTCATCTCATTGAGTCACTACCTGGTCTTTCAGCCACTTCACTCTTAGGAACCTCCCTGCTCTCCATTTCTGGCCTGATTACATGGTGACTTCCATGTTCACAACCCAGAAAATGAGCTTCTCACTTTCTGGATGGCCACACTCCTAGCAACTTCATTTCCTCTTCTCTGAGTCCACTCATACCTAAGTCCTGAACCATGGATTGCTTTTTCACTAAGAATATATGAATTCCTGAGTCCTATTACATTTGCTTTTCCAAGACAACTCCAGTCTGTTCATTCCTCTATTGTCTTCAGGTTTCCTTCCCTATTCAGATTTCTTCCTTTCTTTTCACCCTACCTTGGGGGGGAACATGTGTTATTGTTGAGCTACCATGTCATTTAGATTCAAACACATGACAATGTCTAACCCCTAACAATACTAAAATTGAATTTATTTACTCCATCAACATAGCTAGCTGAAAGCTGTTAGAGAAAAATCACACAGCTGGATGGACTGACACCATTAGATATTCAAAGTCTCTAACATCTACATCACACAATACAGACAAGATTGAAACTGTGAATGACTTCACCTTCCTTGGACCCACAATCAACACCTTTAATACCAGCAGTCGGGAGAACAGAAGAGGCAGGGGAAGTCTGCAGTTAGGGACCTCTTCAAATTACTAAGGAGCAATAACATCAGTAAAAAGTCTAAGGTGCACTGATTCAGACCCTGTTCTTTTCAATCACTTACTACACATTTGAGAGATAGACAAGGAATAAGGATGTTAGGAAAAGAACTGGTGTCTTTGAGTTGTGATGTTGCAGAGTAGCACTAAATATCCCATGGCCGAGAGAACAAACAGATAAGTCTTAGAAAATGTGTAGCCAAAGTGCTTCTTGGAGGTAAAAATGGTTAAGTTTCATCTCACAACTTTGGGTGTATTACAAGAAGAGGCTATTCCTTGGTAAGGGACATCATGCTTGGAGAGGGACATCATAATTGGAAAGGTGGAGTATCAGTGAAGGAAAGGGAGACCCTCAGTGAGGTGGACTGACATAGTGACTGCAGCGATGGATTCAAGTATGTCAGAGATAATGAAGATAATGAGGATGGCAAAGGAGATGATGAGAATGGCAATATCATCAGATAGAACAAGGCTCAGACTTGTTCATAGGTTTGCACTTGACTCAGTGGCACCACCACCAACTTCTGTTTAACTTCACCTTAAGTTTTTCTTGACCTCTGTCAGATTCCTTTTCCATTTTGAACCTTTCTCCTAAGTCTCGATCTCTTCATGTAATTTCTCTGATGCTTACACTCACACTTGCCAGAGGAAAAATGAAGAGAGGAGGCGAGAACTCTTCAAAAGTTCATTTGCTTTCCCATGCATTCTTAAGTGCTTTCCTGAAGGCTCAGGGCAAGTGCTGTCTCTCCTGATCAATCTGAGTCTTCCGCCCAGATCTGTGACTGCCATGCTCCTTCCACGTTTGCTCCAGGGCTCATCTTCATATTCTCTTGCATCTTTAAACTTCCTGAACTTTCCTCAGCCTATAATCAAAGCAGGCTTATAAGTCCTCTACTCCATGACAAGAAAAGGGAAAAATTCTGTGTTAACCCTTTTTAATTACCACGTAAATGCTACTTTTGTGCCTTTATTCAAGGCATTAAAAAGAACTGTGGCTAGCCTTGAGAAGAATGGGAATTCCAGAACACCTATTGTGCTCATGTGAAACCTGTCTGTACTTGGACCAGGAGGCAGTTATCAGAACAGATTAAGGAAACACTGTATAGTTCAAAATCAGAAAAGAAGGGCATCAGATGGGGTGTGTTCTGTCTTCATACCTTTCCAATGTGTATGCAAAACAGATAATTCAAGAGACTGGACTTTATGAGAAATAAAGTGGCATCAGAATTGGAGGAGGACTCATCAACAACCTGTGTTATGCAGATGACAAAATCTTACTTGCTGAAACTGAGGAGGGCCTGAAGCATCTGCTGCAGAGGGTCAAGGATTGTAGTTTGCAACATGGATTGAAGCTCAACATCAAGAAAACAAAGATTCTCTCTACTGGGCCAATTGGTAGCATCATGATAGATTGAGACTGTGAACAGTTTCAGCTTGTTCAGTTCCACAATCAACACTCCTGGTACTAGAAGTCAAGAAATCAAAAGACGAATTCTATTAGGAAAATGTGTTGTCAGAGGCCTCTCCAGAGTGCTGAAGAGCAAGGATATCATTATAGAGACTAAGGTGTGCCTGATTCAGGACATGGTCTTCACAATTGCATCAGATGCAATCAGATAGCTGGATAATCACCAAAGATGACAGAAAAAGAATTGATGCCTTTGAGTTGGGGTACTGGAGAAGAGTATTGAACATACCATGAGCTGTCAAAAGACCTAACAAGTGTGTCCTGGAAAGGGTGAAACCAAGCTGCTCCTTGGAGGCAGGAATATTGAAACTCCATCTCACATACTTTGGGCATGTTTCCAGGAGGGATCATTGGAGGTGGAGGGCTAGCACAGAAATGGAAGATCCTGGATGAGAAAGATTGACACAATAACTGGGGCAATGAGGGTAGGTGTGTCAGAAACAGTGAGATTGGCTTAAGGTAGAGCAGGGTTCAGAGCTATTGTGAATAGGGACACTGTGAATTGCAAGTGGCTCAACGGCACATAACAACAACAACAACAACAACAGTTGATGCTTATTTTCTATTATTTTTCACCCCCTCTCACCTCACAGACCTCAACTTACCAAAGCCTTGTTTCTATCAAACTTCTGATACTTCACTGGCTATGCTTGCTCTTGGCATGCTAAATGCAATATCCAGTGGGCATTTTTCAGTCATGGACCTGCGTGACTTCTGACACCCCTGGATCCGCTCCACTCCTGTGTTCTTGCGATGTCACCCTCTCACAGCTCTCCCCACACTTCTTCACCCCATTCCGCCTCAGCCTGGCCTTTCTCCCTCCACTTGCCCTTGGAATGCTGGTGTCACTCCAGCATCCATCCTCCTTTCACTGCTTTCCTCACTGCTTACCGGGAGGTTGCATTATCTTGCCACTTATATGTGACTGCCTCCCAAATCGTGACCTTTAGTTTGGTTTCCTTTTTGGAGTAGAATTTCTTTCACCCCACTAAATAAAGAAAAACAAAATTAAAAAAGCTCAATATGCTTTTTATTGAGCCGATTCTCACGGTGACCCCGTGTGCTTCAGAGTACAAATATGTTCCTTTCAGAAGTGGATCATCAGATTTTCTTTGCTGAGGTGTGACAGGTGTCACTAAATGCATAGGAACTGCCAAACTTTTGCTTAGGAGTTGTGCATTCCATTATATGTATGAAGGAGAAAGTCTATTTATGCTTTATAGACTATGCAAAGGCATTTGGCTGCCTGGATCATAATAAAGTGTGGTTGACACTGAGAAGAGGGGGAATCCCAGAGTGTTGTGCAAACAGAGCAAATGAACACTACATGATTTAAAAATTAAGAAATGTGTGTGTTGTACACTCTCTCCATACCTATTTACTCTGTAAACCGAGCAAATTATTCGAGAAGCCAGACTCTGTGAAGAAGAATGTGGCATTAAGATCGGTGGAAGACTCATCAATAACTTGCATTATGCAGATAACACAACCTTGCTTGCTGAAAGTGAGGAGAAATTGAAGCACTTGTTGCAGAAGATCAAGGAATGCAGCCTTCAGTATGGATTGCATATCAGTGTCAGGAAAACAAAAATTCTTACCACTGGACTGATAGGCAACATCATGGTGGATGGAGAAAAGATTGAAACTGTTAACAACTTCATCTTACTTGTATTCACTGCTCCAGAAGTTAGGAAAACAGGAGACATATTCTACTGGGAAAGTCTGCAATTAGGGACCGCTCCAATTTTTTTTTTTCTCTTCAAATTTTTGAGAAATAATGTCAGTTTGATGATTAAGTTGCATCTGATCCAGGCCATAGTTTTCCTTTACTTCCTATGCATCTGAAAGCTGGAGAATGAATAAGGATGACAGAAAAAAAAAATCGATGCCTTTGAGCTGTGGTGTTGGAAAAGAGTACTGAATATCCCATGGACGGCCAAAAGAACAAACAAATATGTTTTGGAGGGAGTGCAGCCAGGGTGCTCTTTGGAGGCAAAGATGATGAGGCTTTGCCTCACATACTTCGGGTATTTTCCTAGGAGAGGGACATGATTCCAGAAAGACAGTGGGTTGGCGAAGGAGAGGAAGACCCTTGATCAGGTGGATTGACACAGTGACTGCTGCAAAGGGTTCTCATTTGTCAGAAAGTGTGAGGATGGCACAGGATAGGATAGGTTCATATCTGTTGTTCATAGGGTTGCTATGGGTCATACATGTCTTGACAGCACCTAGCGACAACAACTTAACACAGTGACTGTGTTATCAGAAGGAGCCAAGCCCTGGAGGGCATCATTCCAGGGAAAGTAGAGGGTCAGAGAAGAAGAGAAAGATCCTCAATGAGATGAACTGACCCAGTGGTAACAATCACAGCAGAGATTGTGACGATGATGGGCAGTGATAGGAGTGGACAGGTCTTGTTCTGTTGTCTGTACAATCACTATGAATTGGGATTGATAGCACCTAACAACAACACCAGTCTCCCAGGCTTGGGAGGGTCCAACCAGTGACTGTAGGCAATGTGCAATGTGTGGGAACAGAGCCCGAGACATGTGAGTGCTCCTTCTTAAGGATTCAAACTCGTTTCTTCCACATCTGCTACCTCAGACTTTACACTTTGGTCACACCAGTGTGTGATGCTGATGTGATTTCTACCCATCCTGGCATTCTTCTACTCATATTTTTGTCATCTCATTGCATATGGCTCAGCTCAACCGGAAAGATTTCCCCAGAGTCCCTTCTCTTTCTTCTTGTAATCTGCCTTTTTAAACTGATGTTGTTGTTGTGTAGCTTTGAGTTGGAACTGACCCATAGCTGACCCTCGAGTGGGTTTTCAGACAGTAAATTATACAAGAGGAGATTGCTCATCCTTCTCCTGCAGAGTGGCTGGTGGATTCGAACAGCGTGCTTTTGGGGTTGCAGTGCGATTTTTCACTCCCTTTGATAGCCGAGCTTATGATATTGACCTGCAATTTTCTGTTTCTGTGTCTTTCTCTCCCACAGGCTCAGTGACAGCAAAGATTGGGTCTTACATGACTTACCACCAAGTCCCTTTGTGTTTCTTAGATGTTAACAGAATAATTAATTAGATGACCAGGTGTTTGATGTCTTCAAAAGTTGCATTTCTTAAGATTTTAGTCATTCAATTACGTTGATTTTGCCAGAACAGTATTTACAAGAGGGACTAGAGAAAAACAAAAGCAAAAACAAAAACCAAGAAGGACTGGAGAAAACAGCCTAGCCCAGCCAAGCTTGCCTTCCGCCTTAGTTTGGTGTGGTTGGCTGTTGAGCTGGAGAGTCCTGCTGGTTTATGGCCCGAGTGGGCGTTGAGGCCAAGTTGGATGCTTGACAGCACAGGGATGAATCCTGGGGTGAAGGTGAGAGAACACAGAAGGTCAGCGGCACAGGTGGAAGATTTGCAATGAAAGAGAGTGATGTCCTCAGAGGACCCTTCAGGAAAAGAGACAACAGCTGATGTGAGAGCAGACAACTTTCTAGAGAGATCTTCTCTGTCAGCGTTACTTTTTTGAGAAGGACATGGAAAGACTATCTGCTTAAACAGAGGGAGAGGAAGAAATGCAACAGGGGAGATGACAGTATTTCCCTGAGAAAGGAGCTTGAATAAAGCTTTCTCTCATGTACTTTGGGCATGTTGCTGGGAGAGGCTATACCTTGGAGAGGGATGCCATGCTTGGAAAGGTGGAGGGTCGGTGAGAGAGAAGACCCTCAGCCAGGTGGATTGACACAATGACTGCAGCAATGGATCAGAATGTGTCAAAGATTGTGAGGATGGCACAGGATAAGACAGAGTTCAGATCTGTTACTCACAGGGTCGCTGTGAGTTGTATTCAACTCGATGGCACCGAACAACAACAACAAATGGGAGGGAAAGATGTAGAGGAAAACAATTGATGCAGCTGGAGCAGAAGTTACCTCACCTGAGATGGTAGATGGCTTGGTGGGGGGCCCTGACGAACCCCTGGGGTGGGAGGGAGTTAGGGACAAATTGCTTTATTAACAGCAGTAGCAGGTCAGCCCAGAGGGTGGAGAAAAGCCCTCTTTACCCCTTCAGGAAAAGCGATCCATCTCCATGGTCAGGCCCTGTTCCTTCTTGGCTCTGCCAAGAAATGTCAAGAAAGGAATTACCAAGATGAGTTTTGGGTTCTGCACTGAGATCCTTCCTGCAAGGGTCACTGGGTTCTGCCAGATCCGTGGAATGGCTCCTGCCACCACAGCCGTTAACCCATGGCATGATCTTGTTGTTGTTGTGTACTGCTGAGTCCAGACCCTCAGAGCTGACCTCCAGTGGATTTTCAGAGGCAGTAAATTGCTCAGAAGTTGATTGCCTATCTTCGGTCCGCAGAGCATTTGGTGGATATGAATTGCATGTCTTTGGGTTGACAGTGCAATTCTTCCAAGAAATCAGAAGTCAGGACTGAGATTAGGAAGTACTGGTAGTGGGTAGTGGAAATGATTCATTTGCTTGGTTACCAGTTGAATGTTTGGAGGTTCAAGCCCATCCATAGGCACCTCAGAAGATTGACTTGGTGGGCTATTTAAAAAAAAATCAGACAACCAAACCAAACCAAACCACCCCACAAAACACAAGCCATTTAAAACTCCATGCAGCTTAGTTCTATTCTCTCACACCCAAGATTGCCTTGAGTTGGATAAACTGGGAGGATTCTTTTTATGGAATTAGGATTAATTCGCACATGAGGAAAACTTTTTTTTTTCCATGGCCATTGTAGCTTCTATTTTGACTTACACTGTAAAACCTCTGATATGT